GTTTACTTGATCAAAAAGAAGTTTTAGTGTCACTGTATGCCAATGGAGGCTACCCTTTGGGCGGGGAGGGGGAAAGTGCTGCATTGTTTTCTTTTTTTTTTTTTTGAAAATTTCTTCATAATTAATTTCATACATAGTTCCTGCTGTCAGTGTGATGATCGTATTAGACTCCAGTTAGAGAAAGTTTTTCCCAAAATATCACTGTAATGGATAGCACTGGTAGTTTTTCCCGGATTGTTTTAATTAAAGTTGCATCACTTGATGACCGGTGTACTTGTTGCTTCTTTGTTTTTCTTCGATAGAGAAATACAAGATATTTTGTATCCTCTCTACTGGCTATAGAATGTCCTTCAATTCGGATATTGGCAGTTTTCTTGTGCGTCTTCAGAAAAGATGTTGTCTATAGAAGATCTGGTATAAGTTCTCGTTGTAGGAGTGTTTAAGTATTCATGACCTAGAAAAACCGTTAATTATAAGTACAAGGGGGTTTTCTATTAGAAAAAGTAAAAAATTTATATTTTCAGGAAAGTTTGGATGCTAACGTTGCTGAGGAAACGAAGAAGCCGCTCTACGGCATAGCAGGTTTACATGCTGGTTGGTACGATAGAGTGGAAAAGAACAAACTTAAACTGTGGTACTGGGGACAACTGAAACGATGGGTAGCCTATACGACCGCTACGATTCGGTCCTTAAAGGTAAGTTTTTCTCTTAAGCGAATTCTTTGAGTCATATCCAGAACTTTCTCCAAAATTCGCTCCCATGGGCAGAGTTAGCCCAAGGGGTAATGCTCACCAGTACTATCAGTTCGCTGAGAGACCGCCGGACTTCATCTTTCGAGGATCGCTTAAAGTAAAAAGCGATGGTTGCGTTTTACTTGGTTCAGTACTGATTCTTCGTCGAATGAAGAACCGCTTAAAATAATGAGGGTGCCGTTCGGGCGTTTGTTTCGTCCATCTGTTATCTGTCATCTCTGCCGTATGACCAGTTTAGCCCTTGTTCCCGGCATACATTTTATATTGTATCTTTTACGTCAAACACCATCACACCTTTTCATTAGTTATATGTTAGGCCTAAAATTTATCCTTTCTAATGAAAGGATGAATTTTCAAGCTGGAATTTTTTGATCTTTTCCTCAAGCTGAGCACAAATGCAGCAAGTTTTTTTTCCTTTTGAAGCAACATCCAGCATTGGAGCTTGATATGGTTTGTGAGGAGTATTGTGCTGGTTGCTGTAAGTGCCGAAAGCCATCTCCATCATCAGCGTCTTCGGGTGAAAAGGATCAGTCGAATTGGCGCTGGTGGCATTATCTCATTGGTTCGCCCAGTCGTACCAACATGGTATTTTTTTCTGATAATTTCTAAAATTGTAGATTACTTGAATACTTTAGCAGCTACAAGTCATCGACGTTCGTTGTCACGCCATCGATGCAGCGCTGACAATTTTTCCATTCAACTCGTTGTTGTTGCGCTCTCCGAGTCCACGTCTTACCGTACATTGGTACAACGTAATACGGTTATAAAAGAAAAGTTCAAGAGAAATTGCAAATTAAGTGTGAGAAATTATTTTCACCCTTATTTCTGCACTGTTATAGTAATCGTTTCGTTTATAGAAAGCTGCGAAACCAGTAGTAGATTATTCAAAAATAATGAACGAGAACTGTGGGAAAATTCGAGAAGTTCACGCGAATCCAGTTGATTTGGCAATTGAAAATGTTCAGGATAGCGTAAGCTTTTTACCTACTTAATACTTAAAGCGGACTACCGGTTCGGCATTGATCTATATGTATTTATACTGCTATTGGTCTGTAAAATAGTGTACCCGACAACCATGCTAATTCTTTATTTCATGGTTTTTTTGATTAGTACCGCATCGCGTAGTGGTTACTCTTCTGACGAGTCTGTTCTTCGTTTCGTCTGAGGTTCAACTGGCTCAGTTTTTCTCCGATATTGGCATCTTAGCGGGGGTGTAGTTACACCTAGAAATTCAACGGTGTATGTTGAGCGTTACCACCTCGTTATGCGTTTTTGCCGTGCAGCGCTAGAGCGCTGCAACAGGCAGCAAAAACGCATATTGCA